AGAAATAAAAACTAAAACTAAAAAGAGAAGCGCTTCAGGAAAATTTTCGCAAAAATGAAATGTCACGCGACTATTAAAAGAAAACAGACTTCGCCACGGCGAAGAATAAACTTCGCCATGGCGAAGTTCTTCATGATAAAACCCTAAATTCAAACCCAGTTGTCGCCGCAGCGACGACAAATTCTTCGCCCGGCGAAAAATTACAGGAGCCGCAACATTTTTCAGGGTACTTCGCCCCGGCGAAGACAATCTTCGCCATGGCGAAGTCTGGGACTTTCATAACTTTTGTTTGTGCCAAATGTGCTTCGCCGCCCGGCGAAGTTTGGAACATTTTCCCTTTTCGCCTTAGTTCGAAACTTCACCTGAAACACCCAAAACAAACTAAATTAAAATTATCTAAATCATAAAACAACTAAACAAATTCAAACAGCAATGAAATGAAAAACAATTGAAAAGACTTGGGTTGCCTCCCAAAAAGCACTTGTTTATTGTCGGAAGCTCGACTTTCCCATGGTCCTTCGTCAATCCGGATCCTTGTGAGGTGCTTCACTTCCTATTGCCACTCTTGGTCTTTCCTTTGGAATTTCGAACATTCTCATAAGCATCTTTTCGAAACTTCAAGTTCGTATATGCGTACTTGAGATGAGATGGTGATTGGTTGAGTCCAATGTTTGGAGTCTCTTCTAAAACCAATTTTCACTTGTGCGCATTTATACCAAATTCCTCAAATTGTTCCTTGTGAGGTGATTTGCTTGGTTGAAATTCCCCTAAGTATCTTGCACACCTCTCCGCTTTGATATTTCCTCTTCATTGGTCTTATCTTCATGTTCTTCCAACTTTTCTTCATTGTGAGGTTGCTCCAACACTATACCTCTCCTCAATGGTATGACATTCAATTGTTCTTCAGGATTCGTGACCGTTGTGCTCGGCAAAGAACTTTGAGATCTCTCTGTCAGTTGTTCAACCAATTGCCCCACTTGAACCTCCAAATTTTGAATGGACACTCTTTGATTTCGGTGTAGTTTAGCGTGTCTCATAAAACTTGTGGTTTCTTGCATGAACTCTTCGAATATATCTTCCAATTTCGACATTCTTGCTCACATGGTTGATTATTCACCACTGGTTGATGGTTTGACATTGTCCTTTGATTTGATTGACTGCTTTGATCGCTCCAGGAAAAAATTGGGTGATTCCCCAAACAGATTGTAAGCATTGGAGAAGGAGTCACTTTGCAGCCTTTGTGAGCTAACCATGTAATTCACTTGCTCGGTTGTTGAGAAGAATGACTGGTTCCAATCTTGGCATTCCACACTCTCATCATGGTTTCCTGCACAAAATTCACAAGTTACAAATGGTGAGTGAATAGAATTTACATTCATACCTCCCAATTGGCTTTGAAGTGATGCAATTTGTGTAGATAATGTGGCAAACTCATCGACTTCATGTAGACCCATTGTTCTCTTCGGCATTGCTCTCTCATTAGGTCTTTGGTAGTCATTGTTTGCCATCACCTCAAGCAATTCATAAGCATCATCTGGGGTCTTGTTATTAAGGCTCCGCCTGCTGCCACATCTACCATCATTTGAATATTTGGTAACAACCCATTGTAAAATGTTTGGACTTGTCTCCAAAACGGTAGACCATTATGTGGACAACTCCTTAACAACTCCGTGTACCTCTCCCAAGCTTCATATAGTGATTCATCGTTGCCTTGCACGAAAGAGGTAATGTCAATTCTCATACTCAAGACTATACAATATTTACAATTAACTACAAAAATGAAATAAACGCTTCAATTTAGAACTACACTAGATACTACAATATTAATAATCAACTATCCCCGCAACAGCGCCAAAAACTTGATGCGTGTTTCCTACAACATGCAATATGTAGCAAGTATACTAGTCGCACTAAGTAATAAAGTGATGAGTGAGTATCGTTCCCACGAGGATAGTGTTACTAAGTACCGATTTTTCTAGTTAAAGTCCTAATTGAAGCAACAATATATTGATTGATGACGATTAACAAACTAAAAACAAATGCAAAACCCAACAACTTAATTAATTAAACAATGCTAAAAAAAATGCTAGGGTGTTGATTTCACCTAGATACGCTAACTCAAATCATAGAATCTATTACCCAATTCTAATTCCTTAATTGAAAATCGAATTCCTAAGTTGTAAAACATAACTTCTCAGGCTACATTTCTTACTTATCCCTATTAAGCTTCCGCACCCAACAATTTGAAGATTAATAGTTCAAGTCTTTTAAGCTTTGTGGAATCTATCTAGATTTCATAGATCGCTAAACCTATCTCTAGCGTTTGCTAATCTATGGTATTTATCCCAAGAGGCACAATCACAAATCACTTCTCAGTCTCATTGTGAACAACACACATTGAATGGTGATCAAGCATCCAAAAGACATTAACAAAGAGATAAACACTCAATCATGAAATTAAAACTCAAAGTAATTCAATCCATATAAATTTGAATCATTGTATCAAGATTACATCAAACCCTAGCTAAACAACTCAGTTCATACCAAAAAACGAAATAAAACAACAAAAACAAACTAAATCAAGATTCATCATTGAAAAGCAAGCAAAAGATGGAGAAATCTTCTCTAATTTGAAGCCCAAATCTTCAATAATCTTCCCCTTCCATGAGCTGCCTCCCAAATCACGAACCAAGCCCCTTTTCTCTTCCTTTTACTCTAATTATACCTCTCTCACTTAAGGACGAAGCCCTAGCAAGCCAAAACGCGTCGTTTTATTTTTAGATCTGACGCAGGTTTCGCCGCGGCGAAGCTTTTTCCTCACCGCGGCGAATACTTCCAGGCCCCATTTGAGAATGATAGAGGTCGAATCTGGAAAGGTGTTAAACATATTAATTGTAGCCCTTTTAATTATCTTTCTGGTAGTTTAAGAATCAGCACAATCCGAGGTCTACAGATCACGTTATGACAGAAATACTGAAGCACGTCCAAAGACGTTTTTCTTCAGTTCCCAGCGTACTTTTCACGACTTCAAGCCAAGTTTTCACCCTTGTCCAGTCAGAATTAAAAAAACCAAAACATGAAAGTTGTAGCTCTTCTTCTTAGCTTCCAAAGCTTCTAAATTCAGGTTATTCCGAGTTTTCAAGCTCAAGTTACACAATTTACGCTCAAAACTGTCATTTATGCTAAAAATCATCGTTTAGGCCTACAAAGACAAATTAATAGAATTAGGTAGCAATTATGGCCCAAATTGTATGAAAAGTATCCTAAATCCTATCAAAATTCAATGCAAAATCATAGTGTAAAATATGCTTATCAAGAGCCACACTAATATGACAACTATGTATTTTATTTTTTAATTCTAATTTCATTTTCCCAAACAATTGTATTAAATCATTTCTAGTTGCAATTTTAGAATAACTTTTAAATCTTGGAAAAAATGAATTTTTAAAAAATCTTTCAAAATATTTATCTTCAGTCATATTAATAGGTTGATCAGTTACAGCAATATATAAAGCTAATTGTTCCCTATATACATCAGAATTATAACACCAAATAGTATCATATTAGTTATTTAAGTTTGATTAGTTTCTCTATTTCCATGTTGAGCAATGGGTTTATTAGCATGTCTTTTTAACGTACTAGTACCATTACTTGCATCAGCTTTATAAATATCTCCACAATACTCTCATTTTGCTTTCTTCAATTAAACTTCATTTTCAGTCTCGTAAAACTTATCGAAATGCACCCAAACATCTTATGTGTGCCTGTCGTCAATTTCGATTGCAATTGATAAATCTGCTTCTGCTTGACATGGAGTTGGACGAGGACGACGACTATGAGGACAACCTCTAGAACCACCGGGTGTAGCAGCATGGGAAGGAAGGGGGGAATATTATGAGGTGTATCAGATTCTGAGAATAGGATAGTAGGACTATTTGAATCTACTAAATTTACTAACGTAAATTCAGGGGGACTAGGATAATTTCTTTCATCATTGAAATTGATGGGATGGAAATATCTATCCATTCTATTTTTTTTTTTTTTTAAAAAAGAAGAAAAGATTGGATATAGAAGAAATAAAGAATTAAAGAAGAAGAATTGAAATTTGGAAATATGAATTGAAAATTGCAAAAACTAATAAAAATTAAAATGAGAGCAAATTGACAATAAAGAGAATAATTGAGAGATTTCAATAGAGAAAATGAGAGAATTTGGGATGTGAGGAAATATGAGAGTTTAGGCCCTATTTATACAAAAAAAGGGGAAAAGAAAATGACCAAAAAGACCCTTCTAATTATTATAAAACGGCTATATTTCAAGGGTAAAATAGGTATTTGCAAAAAAAATTAAATTTTTTTTTTAATTTTTTTTGTCCAACCCACCAAGTTGAAAACTCCCAACCAGCGAGCTGGACGGGTTTTTTCTAAAAATATATATATAATCTACCGGGTCGCCAAGTTGGCCAATGAAGGCCCAGCCCGCCCGACTAGGTATACGGGGGTCAGGTTGAACCTGGATTGATGCAGGCCGGGTTAAGGTTGACACGCCTAACCCGACCCATTTGTTCCACCTCTAACAGGAAACAAGCATGTCCAACAATATCTTTCTCTTAAAGTAAGGCAAACTAAAAGGCTTTAAGATCATTGTCGCCTCCTGTGAACAATGTGAATACAAGATTTAGTCATGTTAATTATTAAAGCCGAACAATTACAAAATTTGATTGGTGACTTAAATCATGGGATGATCATTTTACACAAAATCTATTATCTTATACAAATTTTATAAAACTTATAATTAATTAATTTGCAAGTTCTTTTAACTCAGAATCTTGATCAATAATAAATGGTGTACTTGGTTCAATATTCGGATACTTTTTAGAATAATATTTAAAAAAAAAAAAGTAAAATTGGGTGGTTATTACGATATAGGATTTGGAAATTAATAAAAATACTGCCTAGGTTTGTTTATTTACTAGACACCCCTATAATAAAATATTAAAAATGATCAAAAACATCCAATTTAAGAGCAAGAAAACCTCATCGTCACCTCTGGGATCTTGTGATGTGGAGACTGTACATCAGCTGAGAATGCTTCAAAATCGGTTGATGCAGTGGCAATATGTGAATGCTCAAGCTGATGCAGTGAAAGAAAAGATGACTAATCAAGTGGAGGTATCTATAATTCTGTATGATTAGTTTTTGTTGAGTAATATTTAGTTATATTAGGCCTTTAAACTCGATTTGACTCTAGGGAGATTGGACTTTGACCCTATAGGTTGTATCGTTAAGCTATTATTAAATCCAAAGTAATCCTCAATACAAGAATAAGGTTGTGAGTATGCATTGCCATGTCCAGAAAACCATCAGTTCTATAGCAAATTTTGATAATTATAACTTCTTGAAGAAAACAAAATACAAGACCAGCAAAAATTCATATGTATGACATGTCCCCAGTCCCCACCCAACTCATTCAACAACTTAATGATATGATTAATTGACATCGACGGATACATTTCAAGTACTTTAAAATTAAGTTGGAATGAGATGGCATTGTCACATTATCAGCTTATATGTTTTTAAAATTTTAATAGTAGTCTGTCTTATGTTACTCTGTCATGGTTTTGCAGAACAATTTGTTGTATGCTTGGGATACCATCACAAACTTGGAACATTTAGTGTTGCATAAGAAGTTACAACTTCAGAAGGAAAGGCTTGAAATGAAGCAGCTAGACTTTATACTCATGTCTCAAGTCAGTAAAAACTCTATTTGATGACAACTTTCTAAGATATATCTTGCTCATTAAGATGTGGTAATTGGAAAGAATGATATTTATGCACAGACTGACTTGTGATCAGTTGTACATAGATTAAGCCATCGGAATCTTGGGGTGAGATGGAAGGACAACACTTAGCTGTTTCCATGATGAAAGAGTGTCTACGTTCTGTTGCTTGCAAAATACCTCTTATCGAAGGAGCTAAGGTAGGCGAACAAAAACCTGAATTCGTGAACTGATTGCAAATCATTAGTACCCTAAATGTTTGATTCTTATGACTAACAAACTAAACTTGTAGGTGGACCCCCAATCTACTTCCATTACAATTCCACATGTATTAAATCTTTTAGCTACCATCAAGTCAATACTATCTAATTTCTCGTCATCAATAAGTTGTTTATATAAAGCATTCGAAACAATGACTTGAGTACTGCACTTGCTTAACTTAAACTCAAACTATTTCGTTTATAAGCTGGGAAGACCATTTCATTACTTTTTGAATTGGCAGATGCAATTGCACAAGAGAAGTTGCTCATGGAGGAATGCTCATGACTTAATTAATCATGGGATGATCGTCTTACACAAAATCTATTATTTTATAAAAATCTTATAAAACTTATAATTAATTAATTTATGGGGCAAGACAGGTGCGGTGCAGGTGCGGGGCAGGGTTAGGGCGGAACAAGTTCTTTCAATTCAGAATCTTGATCAATAATAAAGGGTGTACTTGGTTCATTATTTTGATACTTTTTAGAATAATATTTTGAAAAAAATAAAACTGGGTGGCTATTACGATATAGGATTTGGAAATTAACAAAAGTAACCCCTTAGGCTTGTTTACTTACTAGACACCCCTATAATAAAATATTAAAAATGATCAAAAACACCCAATTTAAGAGCAAGAAAACCTCATCGTCACCTCTGGGATCTTGTGATGTGGAGACTGTACATCAGCTGAGAATGCTTCAAAATCGGTTGATGCAGTGGCAATATGTGAATGCTCGAGCTGATGCAGTGAAAGAAAAGATGACTAATCAAATGGAGGTATCTGTAATTCTGTATGATTAGTTTTTGCTGAGTAATATTTAGTAATATTTGGCCTTCAAACTCGATTTGACTCTAGGGAGATTGGACTTTGACCCTATAGGTTGTATCGTTAAGCTATTATTAAATCCAAAGTAATCCTCAATACAAGAATAAGGTTGTGAGTATGCATTGCCATGTCCAGAAAACCATCAGTTCTATAGCAAATTTTGATAATTATAACTTCTTGAAGAAAACAGAATACAAGACCAGCAAAAATTCATATGCATGACATGTCCCCAGTCCCCACCCAACTCATTCAACAACTTAATGATATAATTAACTGACATCGACGGATACATTTCAAGTACTTTAAAATTAAGTTGGAATGAGATGGCATTGTCACATTATCAACTTATATGTTTTTAAAATTTTAATAGTAGTCTGTCTTATGTTACTCTGTCATGGTTTTGCAGAACAATTTGTTGTATGTTTGGGATACCTTCACAAACTTGGAACATTTTAGTGCTGCATAAGAAGTTGCAACTTCAGAAGGAAAGGCTTGAAATGAAGTAGCTAGACTTTGTACTCATGTCTCAAGTCAGTAAAAACTCTATTTGATGACAACTTTTCTAAGATAAATCTTGCTCATTAAGATGTGGTAATTGGAAAGAATGATATTTATGCACAGACTGACTTGTGATCAGTTGTACATAGATTAAGCCATTGGAATCCTAAGGTGAGATGGAAGGACAACACTCAACTGTTTCCATGATGAAAGAGTGTCTACATTCTGTTGCTTGCAAAATACCTCTTATCGAAGGAGCTAAGGTTGGCGAACAAAAACCTGAATTCGTGAACTGATTGCAAATCATTAGTACCCTAAAAGTTTGATTCTTATGACTAACAAACTAAACTTGTAGGTGGACCCCCAATCTACTTCCATTGCAATTCCACATGTATTAGATATTTTAGCTTTCATCAAATCAATACTATCTAATTTTTCGCCATCAGTAAGTTGTTTATATAAAGCATTTGAAACAATGACTCAAGTACTGCATTTGCTTAACTTACCATCAAACTGTTTCGTTTACAGGCTGGGAAGACCATTCATTACTTTTTGAATTGGTAGATGCAATTGCACAAGAGAAGCTGCTCATGGAGGAATGCTCATGACTTAATTAATCATGGGATGATTGTCTTACACAAAATCTATTATCTTATACAAATTTTATAAAACTTATAATTAATTAATTTACGGGGTTGGGCAGGTGCGATGCGGGTGCGGGGCAGGGTTAGGGCGGAACAAGTTCTTTCAATTCAGAATCTTGATCAATAATAAAAGGTGTACTTGGTTCATTATTCTGATACTTTTTAGAATAATATTTTGAAAAAAGTAAAACTGGGTGGTTATTACGATATAGGATTTGGAAATTAACAAAAGTAACCCCATAGGCTTGTTTATTTACTAGACACCCCTATAATAAAATATTAAAAATGATCAAAAACACCCACTTTAAGAGCAAGAAAACCTCATCGTCACCTCTGGGATCTTGTGATGTGGAGATTGTACATCAGCTGAGAATGCTTCACAATCGGTTGATGTAGTGGCAATATGTGAATGCTCGAGCTGATGCAGTGAAAGAAAAGATGACTAATCAAATGAAGGTATCTGTAATTCTGTATGATTAGTTTTTGCTGAGTAATATTTAGTAATATTCGGCCTTCAAACTCGATTTGACTCTAGGGAGATTGGACTTTGACCCTATAGGTTGTATCGTTAAGCTATTATTAAATCCAAAGTAATCCTCAATACAAGAATAAGGTTGTGAGTATGCATTGCCATGTCCAGAAAACCATCAGTTATATAGCAAATTTTGATAATTATAACTTCTTGAAGAAAACATAATACAAGACCAGCGAAAATTCATATGTAGGACATGTCCCCAGTCCCCGCCCAACTTATTCAACAACTTAATGATATGATTAACTGACATCGACGGATACATTTCAAGTACTTTAAAATTAAGTTGGACTGGGATGGCATTGTCACATTGTCAGCTTATATGTTTTTAAAATTTTAATAGTAGTCTGTCTTATGTTACTCTGTCATGGTTTTGCAGAACAATTTGTTGCATGCTTGGGATACCATCACAAACTTGGAACATTTAGTGCTGCATAAGAAGTTGCAACTTCAGAAGGAAAGGCTTGAAATGAAGCAGCTAGACTTTATACTCATGTCTCAAGTCAGTAACAAACTCTATTTGATGACAACTTTTCTAAGATATATCTTGCTCATTAAGATGTGGTAATTGGAAAGAATGATTTTCATGCACAGACTGACTTGTGATCAGTTGTACATAGATTAAGCCATTGGAATCCTAGGGTGAGATCAGCCGTTTCCATGATGAAAGAGTGTCTGCATTCTGTTGCTTGCAAAATACCTTTTATCGAAAGAGCTAAGGTAGGCGAACAAAAACCTGAATTCGTGAGCTGATTGCAAACTTTTCATCACAAAGGATCTTGAGTGATTTACTTTTGCAGCGCTGCAAAAGTGAATCACTCCAGATCCTACTGGTGTTAGACGATAACGATGATACCGAAAAAGAGGAAGACGCATAGGAGCCGGATGATGCACCACTTAAGGAAGGTAACCCTCTCGCATTATCAATAAATTCTATTGTGGGGATAGCCACCAATAAGACATTGAAGCTCAGGGGATTGATTGGGAAGGAAGAGGTATTTGTATTGGTGGATGGTGGAACCTCCCATAACTTTATTGCCCATGAATTAGTGCAAAAATTAGGACCAGAAATCGGGAGGAGTAAACCATTTGCAGTGATGGTAGGAAGTCCAACTTCATTATCTAAAACTCTTAAAAGACTAATGAATTATATGATTACAATACTGCTGGTAACTTAAAATAAAAGCTTTTTAAAAGAAATTGTTGATTAGTATGAGCTTGATTGATTTGTTATGAAAATTTACTTCAATTAGAATCCTCTCAGATGTTACCTTCACTAATTACCAGAATACTGTTGACCTTGACCATCCAACACATTTTATATCACACCTTCTAATTTAGGTAAAATGTAATCAATACAAACTATATAAACCTTTATTATTAGTAAAATCTAATATTTTTAACTCTAAATAAATTTTTTTTGTTAAAATTATTTATCTCAAGAGCTGTCCAAAAAAGTGAACAGAATTTTAATAAAAACCTGATGAGACATGATTTGGCAAATAAATTTCCACCACACCAGAACCTTCACCAAAGCCTGAAAGTCTACAGAAGTCCAAACAAAAAATGTCAGAAAGACCTTGGCCCCCCCATCTCCAAATGTGTCCTCACCATTATTGGCCAAGCTTTTATATCACACATTAAATTTATCAGATATTTGTAAATTTCTATGTGCTTCGCCTCACCAAAACCATGACCTCCAATGACTACAAGCCACCCCACTCCCTTTCCACTCTCTCCAATTTTCTCACCATCCAATCACCACTGTTTTCCCATCAATTCTCACCTTTTTTCTCTCCAGATTCCAGCCTTATCCCCAAATTTTCATGGAAAATTCCCCTTTTTGTAGCATCCCATATAGCCTTGCTTATGTCTTCAACAAAAAAATGTTCTTTGATGTGAATTGAGATAGTTTTTGAAATATTTTCTTTAAACTTGTTTAGTTGTTTTTTTTTTCAGAGTTATGGAAGAACAAGCTGAGAGTAAACAAAATTGTTGCAGCAATGGGGCAAGAAATGTTCTTTTTGAAAAGTATGAGATGGGGCGATTATTAGGCCAAGGCACCTTCGCCAAAGTCTATTTTGGGAAGAATCTTTCCACTCAGGAGTGTGTTGCAGTAAAAGTTATCCTGAAAGATCTGGTTAAGAAAGAAGGTTTAATGGAGCAAATCAAGAGGGAAATTTCAGTTATGCGTTTGGTGAGACACCCCCACGTTGTCGAACTCAAAGAAGTCATGGCGACGAAGGCGAAGATTTTCTTTGTAATGGAGTATGTTAAGGGTGGAGAGTTATTTGCTAAAGTCGCCAAGGGAAAGCTGAAGGAGGACTTGGCGAGAAAGTATTTTCAGCAGCTGATTAGCGCGGTTGATTTCTGTCATAGTCGCGGCGTTTATCACCGTGATTTGAAGCCGGAAAATCTCCTCCTGGATGAAAATGAGGACTTGAAAGTTTCGGATTTCGGGCTCTCGGCCTTGCCGGAACAAATCTGGAATGATGGATTGTTGCACACAAGATGTGGAACTCCGGCATATGTTGCCCCTGAAGTCCTGAGGAAAAAAGGATATGATGGAGCAAAATCGGACATTTGGTCTTGTGGGGTTATTCTTTTTGTTCTTCTTGCAGGGTTTTTACCATTCCAGGATGAAAATGTTATGAAGATGTACAGGAAAATTTTCAAGGCGGAGTTTGAGTTTCCGCCCTGGATTTCCCCTGATGCCAGGAAGTTGATATCAAGGATCCTGGTGACTGATCCTGAAAAGAGAATTACAGTTTCGGAAATTATGCGGAATCCCTGGTTTCAGAAAGGGTTTTGTAAACCTGTAGCGGTTTCTATTGATGAGAAATTGACAGTGGAGAATGGTTTTGGAAGTGGTGAAGATAATCCTGGGGAGATTGAATTAGTAAGAGCAAAGAATTCGTCGCCGCCTTTCTATAATGCCTTCGAGTTCATATCGTCAATGTCGACGGGGTTTGATTTGTCAGGTTTGTTTGAGAATAAGAGGAAATCAGGGTCCATGTTTACATCGAGGTGTTCGTCTTCAGCCATCATGGGGAAGCTTGAGACATTGGCGAAGAAGTTGAATTTCGGTGTGTGTGCGAAGGAATTCAAGTTGAAAATGCTGGGAAAAGAGGAAGGTAGAAAAGGGAAATTGGTGGTGACGGCGGAGGTTTTCGAGGTGGCGCCGGAGGTCGCGGTGGTCGAGTTCTCGAAGTCGGCCGGAGACACTCTTGAGTACAAGAAGTTCTATGAAGAAGAAGTGAGGCCTGCACTCAAAGACATAGTTTGGACTTGGCAAGGTGAAGACAATTGTCAATGTAACTAACCTGCAAAAGCCATAGCAACCAAAAAAAAAAAATAATAATCTTGCTGATTTTGCTAGGGTTTGAAGTTTTTAATCTTCGTTTACGACATTATGGAGAGTGTTTGTAGATATTCAAAATTGTAGTACTATATTGTAATGGAATAAATGTTCTGTACCATGAATTGTTCAAATTGTTTTACAAGTTTAATATTAAATGTTGTCAATCAATTGTTAGATAAATAATGTTCCTTACATATAATAGCAGTAGAAGTTGGAAGTAGCCCTTAAATCATCTCTGGATTGTTCGATGGTAAAAAAGTTAAAAAATATTTTATAAATTTGTTAATAGAAATAATCATTAAGATTTTTAGTCATTTGATAATTTAAAGTAAAAAAAAAAAAAATTAGTTAAGGTGTGGTTAAACCTGTCATACACCACCGACGGAAGAAAATAAATAAAAAAGTTGGAAGTAGCCTAGCTTAAGTTGGGGCTCCAAATGGCTCAATTATAAAGCTTTACTGCTTTAGTGGTGGGGCATAATAGCGAATGAAGGTATCTTTTAGGATCTTGTTGGCTTCGTTTGGTTCAAAATTTGGGGGTTTTGGGAAAGTTTTTTGAAAAAAGTTAAAAAAAAAGTTGAATTGGACAGGTATTACGATGTAAGATTTATAAATTATAAAATATCCTTTATGTTTGTTTTTTTACAAAACACCCCCTATAATAAAACATTAAAAGTTAACAAAAACACCTCCAACCCACCCTCAAATACGGACAGCCGACCACCACCATCGGAGGGTGGCCGGAGTCGCTATAACAAAAAAATTAAAAATATTTAGGGGTATTTAATTAAATTAACAAATTTAGGGGGTTTAAAAAAAGTTGAATAAAGTTGAATAATATTTTGAGTTTTTGGGTATTTTACTGTTTAACTTTTTTGGGAATACTAAAAGTAGTATTCCCAAAATCCAACCAAACGAAGCCGTTGTTGTTGAGAAAAGATAAATTGGTATCACCAAAATTACAGGAAGCCAAATACCTAATAATAGTTGTAACAGTATTTTTGAATAAAAATAATTAAGAAATAGAGGATTTTAAGTTAATTACGAGAATGACCTTGGCAAAGGGCTTGCTTTCTCCTCAAACACTTGTTCTAGAATCATGTGGTAAGGATTTATTTTTTAACCCAAAGTTAATATTCTGTTACTACTCAAAGCTGATTACAGTGGAGAAAATTCTTTCCATCGTCACCATTTAAACCTTTGGTCTCCTTACAAAACCACCTCACTTTGACATTTGATTTCTCGTCAATTGTTGACCACTTTAAAGTTAGGATTTCATGTTTTTAATTGATTTTTGACTGATTCTGACGATAAATATTTAATTTGTCACCATCATTCAATCCAGCGGTCTTTACTCTACAAAATCCCTCTTATCTTGGCTTATAGTAACTCCCTGAACAACGGTTAAAAATGTGAAGTGTATTTTGGGTATTAACGAAATATAAACTTTGGTTTGAAAGTGGCATTGTGAAACTTTTTGGTTGGGAAAGTCATTAAGGCAAACCTTGGTTGGAAAAAAGTTGTTTACTCTTACTTTAAATAGAAAAACCGAAAATCATTTTAAAATTTATGAATCTTCCAGACAGAAGTAATTCTGGCCCCAGGGGTCTGGACCAAATAAAACTGTATTTTGAAGAACAGTTTCAGCATAGTTTTCAAAAACTTGTATCAATTTTTTTAATATCTAGAAATAATTTTGAAAACATGTCCAATACTATATTTCGAAAACATGTTTTTGATTTTATAAAATCTAAAATAAATAAAAAAACATTTTAAATACTATATTCAAGAATCATAATTTGATTAAATCAACTTCTAGGTAGTCGAGTGGTTCGATAGAGATTCTTGGTGTATTATTCAAGAGATCCTGCATTTGACTCTCTCTTCGAGTGCTAATAAGAGTGGCCGCTAAAGCTCTCACCCAATCAAAGTTTGTCTTTATTGACACTTTCCTACCCAAAAAGTTTTAAAATATTACTTTCCTATGCAAAGTTTATATTCCAACCAATCACTGGCTAATTTTGACATTTTATGACCTCACGCTATCATCATTCTTTTCCCCGATTATCACTTACCAAAACCTGTCAAACCTTGCTCCCTCTAAACCTGTCAATTTTTCGCAATCGAGCGATTTATGTAATGCACAACCATCCATTTCAAGTCAAATTTTGACCAATCTCAACTACCAAAATCCAACCTATCATTACCAAAAGACTCATTGGTATGTCCTCTTCAAAAACCCCAAAGTTTGGACCAAGTTTTATCTCTATTGGCCACCAAATTGGAAAGTGGATTCTGGGTAATCAACAAACTTTAGATGGGAAAGTGGTATTTTAAAATTTTTTGGATAAGAAAGTATCATGGATGCAAAGCTTGGGTGGGAAAAAGTTGATTACTCTTCTTTATCTATAAAATTTATAATTTTTTTTTCCTAAAAAATTATTATTGTCGATTCGACATGTCTTGTGGATTATAAAATTATTTATTAAAATTTCATTGATTTCAAATGAATCAATCTCGTGGATTTGAGTGGCTATGTATAATATTAAATACTATAAAGAAATTAAAAATTTCAACGAATACATTTGTACTTGTTAATATTGATTGAGTTGAAATTTCAACCGAAGAATGGTAGTTATTTTGTCCTTATTCTCTGTGTGTGTGGAGATGAATGAATATAATGTCATCTTTTTATGTGGTGGTGAATGATTAAGGGAGTGGCCAGTGGGATCGGACCCAACTAACTGTCTTTCCTTGAGGGCCTCATGTCAAAGGTTAAAACGCGCTTTCATTTTCGATTGTCCCACGTGTCACTGGTGGGGTCACAAAAAGTGACACTCTATCAACTGTTTCTAACAAAATATATATCTATATTTTTTAATTTTTAATTTCAGTTTAAAAATAATGCCCACTCTTCCTTAACATAGAAGAAAGGGTTAATAACAATATTCCCTCTTAGGTTTAATTAAGTAACAAAAATTCTCCTATAGTTAAAGAAATAATGGATATCCCTCTATCATTATTTTCAATAAAGATTGACTCACAATTCAATTTTATAAAAAAAATTTCACAATCCCGATATGATAGCTCGCAATTAGCATGCAGAACCCATTTGTAAACTAACTAATTGTGAATTGTCATGTCAAGGTTGTGAGAAAAAAATTATAAGATTGGATTATAAGTAAAAAATTTTCACAATCCCGATATAATAGCTCGCAATTAGCATGCAGAACCTATTTGTGAACTAACTAATTGTGAATTGCAATGTCAAGGTTGTGAGAAAAAAATTATGAGATTTGATTATAAGTGTAGTATTATCCCATTATTTTTTGTGTTAAAATAAACGGAGGTATATATATATATTCTAATAGCACACTAACGATTAACTACCGACATCTGAGATTTTTGTTATTTTTTAACACGATAATTTTGTTATCCTTGAAAGAGATGTTAAAATTTTGCATATGATTTTAATTTAAAATTGAAAAATAAAAGTTGATTGACTTATCATAAATAGACTAATTGATATGACTTGATTTTTGTCAATTAAATAATTATTATGGTTTGATTTTGTGAATGAGATGATCATACATTTATTTCAGTTATTCATCATAAAATTAAAATTGGATATTGGATATTGAGGAAAACAAGGTGTCAATGATTTAAAAGTCGGCTAAGAAATTTAAGTGTATCACGCAACACAAATGTCAATTGCAGTCATTTAATTTCAAAGTTTTTTAATATGGTGCGACAATACTCAAATTAATTAAGCTCCTATTGCCCTCCCTGTTAATTCTCAAGTCAGAAACACCTTCGTAATACTATAAACTTTTTCCTGGTGTAGAAATAGACTAACACTTTAACCCAATGTATTAAAAATCAACCCGGGCTAACCCGGCAAAGAAGCTGGGTCCCGAGTTGACCGGTTTAATCGATGAGTCAAGCTGATGACGTGTCAATTAAAACAATTTCAAAATTTTTGAATTTGGCGCATGTTAGCATGGCAACTGTTTCTGGCACACGTTAGCACACATCAAAGTCGACCTTTTTTCCCTTTTTTCTGGTTGTTTTCTCACCATCACCACCATTGAAACCCTCACCCTCTCCTTTTCAAAATCATACCTTTTATCCCCTCTCATCACTGGCTAATCACAAGCAATAGAAAACATGTTTTTCTAGTTGTCCTTTGCCAGATTCTAGCCATTTTGAGCGACGACAGCTCCAACCACCACCACCCTTAGGCTCACCGGCTACTCCCCTACAAAACCCCCAAAGTACCCAGGCCATTCCACCCACCAATCACCAGTGACGGATAACATGTTTTTTTGGTTGTCCTTTGCCAGATTTCAGACATTCTGAGCAACGACAACTCCAACCACCACCACCCTTAGACGCACTGGCTACTCCCTTACAAAACCCGCAAAGTTCCCAAGTCATTCCACCCACTAATCATCGACAATCAGAAGCTAGGGTTTCACCATTTCTTAGCCAAATTTCGGCGATTATGACGACTAAAACTTAATCAGATACCATGCCCAGACTCATTGTGATCCACCATTCAAAACCCCCTCATGTTTGCCTGCAGAATGTCGACTGAAAGTCGTCATTTTCTGGTGTCTAATTCACCTAGTTTATTCCAAAAACCGATTGGACCGGCAGGTTGCTACAATACCACTAGTCCAACCTCGGGGTGAATCTAGGTGAATGCCCCTCCTGGGCTTTTATTCTCTCCCGACCCACCTCACCGACCACGTCTTGGTTGAACCGATCCAACCGACAGAGCCGGGTTTTAAAAAAATGCTATAACCTTTGAAAATCATACCATCACCTTATAGAAAGCTAACAATACCTAAGAATGATATAAAATACTACATGTTGATACAAAAAATCGCACCGACCTAAGAGATTCGATTGATCTTGATGGAATCAGAACCGATGGACGCGTAATTGATTAAAATCAGCTAGGAAGAATTAATAAAAGGACAATAACACTT